TATTGTTCATGTCACTAAAGATACAGTACGGTAGGTTCAAACTTGAAATAAAAAAGCGTCATCATCATATCTAGTGCAATGAAGCTATTGTCACCTCAAAGTCAGATATTTTTGGTACTATAGATGGCACTCTCCCGAGCTTAGAACTTTCAGACATAAGAACTGATTCGCTTTTATCAACGCGTTTTCAGAGAGTCTACCAGCTCCTGCGAAGGCTACGCCTACATCAATCAAATGGTAGCTAATCTGTAATTCGCGACAGTTTTGATATAATAGGGTTTAGGATTATTCTCAAATGGAGATGAATGAGAAGAAACATCTGAAAGTGATAAGGATGTTGGAAACGGTAATAGAAGCTAATCAGGATAAGGGAAAATTTGAAGAGCTAAAGAAGTTTTGTAGATAGCTGAGACGGCAACAACATCAGCAGCCCACATAGCTCATGAAGAACACGAATCATCGGATGTGGATGATGGAGTAAGTATTTTCTATTCAGTATAACATTTACAGTTTCGAATTCAGTACTCGCTTTACGAGGCTCATCCACCAACATTGAGGTTCTCAAACCCAGTGAAATTTTTTCATCCCGATGCTGACAGCATGGACAGTTATGGCACAATTACCAGTCAGGAAATTCTCGAAGCTTTCGAGAAGGCAAGCGAAGTGAGGTTTTACATGTTTCTCCTCTTAGAATATGCAAAATTCTTTTCCCAATCGATAAAAAATTTTTGAATTCGAAAGACGTGCAATATATCAATGTAGACGTATTCTAAAGAAATGCGAGAAACCAATTTAAGTGACACTGAATACTGAGATATAGACGAATCACTGCACGCAGAGACAGGACGCCATTGCGGACGCTGTTGGCGTTTCTCTTATCAAGATCGCATCTAACTCTACGTCTGCTCTTTCTTTTGAACCCGCATTTTCTTTCTCACGTAACTGCGTCCAGTCTCTGTGTGTCGCCTTTAGAAATCACGTTTTGATAGAAATAGTAAAGTCATGAGGAGTCAAGATATGAAAACGACGTATTTTTTACATTTTAGAAACTGATTTTTTTTTTACATTTCAGGAACTACTGCTGGATTCTTTCACAAGTAGTGTAGAATCGCCACCAAAAGCTTCTCTAGACGATGACTGTCTCTACACGGACCTTGTACATTCCGCTTCTATAGATTCAACACATGTATAATATTCTAATCAATAAACTTTTTACGAATTTACGGTGCATTTGTTGTCAAAAGGAACCCCACATCCTGTAAACCGTACCCACTTTCGCTCAGAACATACCTATTTGTCTAAGAACTGCAGTAAAAGCAGAAGACTCACAGGTGTAAAGTTTGAAGTCCGAACATAACGCAGCTACCCGATCACCATCAAAAGCTACGACATGAACAGCGCTATCCACTTTTGCAGAAAATCCACACATGGGCGGTGGTACCGGACATTGGTCAAAGTCGGTGAGTCGAAGTTCTTCTAGAATGGAAAAGTATACCTATAGAATGTGATTACGACAGAGGTAGAGATTGCATAGAAAACAATAGCCTACCAGTAGAAATGACTAAAGCAGTCGAACCAAAAACTACTGGGCTGAGATCAAAGTTTAGTCGAGTGTATATACCATCGACAGAAAGAATGCTTAGTTGTCGAGCCTGCAAAACTGATACATAGACGCGGGAATTGGAAAAATGTTTTGAAGATGGGAGGGACAAAATGAAGAGAATTGATTTTCAAAAATTTCCGAAATCGATTTTTCCTCAGGATTTTTTAGACAGTCCGCTATTACTTGCGGGTTTTTGACACTTATTATAAGAAAAGAAGGAAGCACCA